AGGAAAATAATAATAATAAATAAAATTCTAGAAAACTGTCAGTATGGCTACATTTTGTCACTCTTGTTTGCATTCATGAGGGCATAGAATACTTGAAGCACTCAGTATAATACAGTCAAGTAAAACACCATCACTGACTAAATCATTGGGATGATTTCAGCTTTATGTGTCTAAGTAATAAAATAGCCACTGCATGTATCAGTGCATGTAAGTGTAGCTATAACGTAAATGTGCAAAAACACTGGATTTGTACGATACTGGAGGCACTCTTTTGCTATACATATCGTGGTCTATAACTTCCCCGGTTTAAACATTTGATATTTTTTTCTGTGATCTATTGTGACAAAAATACAGCTTTAGAGTTGCAAATCATTGCATTCTCCAATTATTTAAATTTTTCACCGTTGCAAGTTTTTTTTTCCTTTGGAATTGGGGTTGAGCACACATATATGTGCTTATATAAAAACACATGAATATGTACATTCTATTGTAGAGTTTAAGGGGGCAGGGATGTAATTCTGGTGATTGTGGAATGTATTTAAGTTTTCAGCATTTCAGTAGCCTCATGGTTTGAAGGTAGAATCTGTCTCTTAAGCTGCTGTTGCAGGTCTGCATCCATCCAGTACCACGTGTCTAACAGCAGGAGTGGGAAGAGTCTGCGTCTAGGATGGCAGGGGTCAGAGAGGATCTCTCTTCCTCCTACAGCACTGTCTCTAATAAAGATTTAAAGGTATTTATGACTAACTATATATTTTTTCTATTCAAATGATAGTTCTTCCATGAAATAAAAAATACAGTTTAAGCATTAACATTATATCATATTTGTAACATCCACTCAGGATGTGAGCCTGGGCTGAGGGCGTTGTCTTCTCTGGCCAATCACAGATGCTGAGCCTGTCTCTTTTTCCTGTCTGACGTCAGGCAGATAAAAGGCAAGAAAGATGGAGAGAGAAGAAAAGAGGAAGAGAGGCTGGTGGTAACTGAGAAAAAAAGAAGGGTGCACATGAGAATAACCCTACGGGGTTTACTAAGTAAGAGAAGGGAGAGAAGGAAGAAGACGGATGATGATAGTAGAAAAGAGGATTGAAATGCTGACAGATCGCTGAGATCAGGGGGGAAAAAAGAAAGGAAAAGGGACATGCATCTAAAAGCCCACAATAAACAGCAGACAAAGAATACGAAGAGATACAATGAGTGTAGGTTAAGATGTTCATTTCAGTGCTGATATAGTTCACAGAATGTCTGAATGCTCTTAATTTGACAACATTTGGCAAACGGCCACATGTACAGTTATCTGATGTAAGCAGCAGTGAACTTCAGGGCGCACACAAAAAAAGGCAATTACTACACAGACTTCTCGTTAAACGCAGGTTTTTAAAGAACCATCACTCTCAGCATCAGTTATAAAGAGCATCAGTTTAATCTCCTTGTATGACTCATGAATACAATATAGGATGTGATTACTTTTTTTGTAGTCGAAATCAAAATAGCTGAAAAAGAATCAAAGACACGAGTGAAAAGCACTGAACGCTCCGCTTGGGTGGTTTCGATTTGTTTATTAAACGGTTTTAAATAGACATTTATAAATAGATTTTGTTCAGCTTTGTCTGCACGATGATGCCTTTGACAAACCAGACAAGGCAGTACGAATAGATATAAAAGGACTTTTTGATATTGAATGACTTATTGCTTATTGACTACTTTTGATGCCCTAGAAACTTTAATGTAAAAATGGGTAAGGCCCTAAGCTGTGCAAATTACCTTTGATGTAACAAGAGCAGCATCATTATAAGGTGACAGTGCAGTCAATTTTACACATGTATATAGGCTACAGTTGTTTCTCAGAAAACATACACACACACTAACACACACATCCCCCAGCTTGAATAGTGGATGAGTCATGTCTGCCAGCCCTTACTGTTACTGTGATGGCTCCAGATTTAAGGGCCAGCAATCTGCATTCATTTCACAGACTCTCTCCTTTTCTCTCTCTCTTTCCCCTCTGTCTCTGTTTCTATACTCTGTCTCACTCTTGCCCTGGCACTATTTCTGTCTCCTTCACACACACACATAAACACACAGGTAGAAAAACACTGGGAGTGGGAAGTAGCTGTCACCTCTCTGCTGTGCCAAACACACACGCCCCATATGTTGTTGATCAGTCTTGTCTTAGGACCTGACAAATTCATGGAAATGCTATATACAGTTTATATACTTAGTACTGTGCAAATCTCATCTCTTTATTTTTCCCTCCAAGGAGCCAGACTTTGTTGTTATTTAAAAACAAAAGGTGTCATAAGCAGTAGTTCTCCAGGCATCTTTCCCACTCATTTTCACTCCTTGTACCCTATTTTCAAATGATTTTTTTTCCTTTCGTTAAGCCTCTTAACACTGACCTATGAATCACTCCAGCATAAAAAGGCACCTAACCAGTGTTGTGTCTAAACATAACAGGCAACTTAGCAAAGAAACAAATTTAAATGCTATCTTTAGCCACTTTTTTGCCTGTCGGCTATTGCAAAAACACAACAGTTGCTCCCATTTCCTTCACTGAATCTACAATCTGCAAAGAAAACATGGTGTGACAGGCATGAAATACTATTTTTGCATCAACAAGGTGATTCCCAAAGAGCTACTAGAAAAAACTTGGCATATCTCAGCACACTCTGCAGTGTGTTATTAAAGAATATGAGGACACTAAACAAGTGGAGGACAGTGAGAAAGTCCTTAAATGTCCTTATGAAACAGGGAAAAAGATGCGACACAGGACCTGAGAGAAGCATCTGACCCTTCAGTTGATCCATCTACAGTTCACTGAAGCCTCATCAGAAATGGTTGCAATGAAAGGGTGGCTGTCAAAAAACAACTTTCAAGGATATACATAGGTGGTCAAAAGAAAGTTACAGTGAGTGTCTACAGTAAAATATGGTGATAGCTCTGCCATGTTTGGCATTGTATTTTAATCACTGGTGTTGAAGATCTTGTCATAAATTATGTTGTTATGAATGCAGAAAAGTACAATCACAATTTGATCCATCTGGAAAGCATCTGATTGGCAACAGCTCCCCCACCCCCGGAGCCTGGACATTAACATTATTTAGGCAGTGTGGGATAATCTTGACAGAGAACTGAACAAAAGGCAGCCAACATCCAAAGTAGAGCTTTGAATGTCCTTCAAGATGCCTGGAGAACTATTCCTGATGACTACTTAAAGAGATTTCAAGAAAGCTTGTCTAACAGTGCTCAGGCTGTGTTGAAGAATGAAGATGGTCATCAAAAATGGTGACTGTCAAGCTCATTGGAATTGTGCAAACTCTTCTTTTTGGCTTATATACTGAATTTCCATGTATGTTTGCACATTTCAGTAAATCACTACTCTTGCTTCCCATGTTCATTACAAAATAGAAAGAAACAAGGGGCCACTCAAGACTTTTGCACAGTACTATGGTACTATACACTGTACACAGAGAGACACAGTACACAGTTAGGGTCAAAGACAGAGCATAAACTTATGCAAGGGTAGAGACAATCCCAGCCAAATTAGGACATCTATCCCCCACAATGAACATCACAGGCCCATGCAGTAATACGTGAGTGCAGTGAGTGATGAACGGGCTTTCAATTAACTATGATACAACAGATGTTTGGCAAATCACTATGTGTGGTTTAAATTTCTAGCTAATGAGTCAACTCTGGGCCCTGAAAATTGAACTTTAGCTGGCATTACATCTTAATGTGACTCACACAAACAGGGGTTCAGAAACATAAAGCAAATTGAAACTCAGTGTGTGACATTTTGGTAATAAATCAAATAACTGTGTTAGTGACAACATGACAGAAGCAGCTTTTACTACTGCCTTGATCCTCGTGGGGTTGTTGAACAAAAGCACCTTGTCAGATACAGTTTTATTATGTGATAAGTTCAGGTGATTCTTTTAGAAGCTTAAACCACCACACACATACACACACAGAGGAATAATCACATCTTTTCATTGTGTTGGTAGCAGTTTTAATGAGCCTATTTAATGGTACAGAGAGGACAGTGGAGAGCTGTCTGTGAGGCTGAATTAAGGTTGCTGGAAGTTTTCCAACAATAAGGAAAATTGTGATTTAATTCCCAGAATTATTTCACATTTTCTTTTCATATTTTCTGGCAAAGGGAGGCTCGCTGCACTAAAACTAATTGGACTGAAAGAACTTTCTCCCCTTCAACAACAAATTGTACAATAAGCTGCCTCCCGCCTGGCCTCCGAGCACAAATTAATCAGGTAATCATATCTTGTCTTCTTCACTATATGTAGCCCATTAACATTTAGCAACACTCTTTTCTCTTTGGTAGCACTCCAAGCCATACACGCTGACAATGATTAGTAGCTTTAAGGATGAGGATAAATACTGTAATTTACTTTCCGCGCCCTTAAGAGCAACTACCATCTATTTCTCCATCCCTCTCGCTTTTCTTGTCTGTCACACACGCAGGGCCATTGCATATAAAGCTGCACTGCAAGCCATGTGCTTGTTGGAAACCCACCGGTCAAACACAACGCAGGACGGGACCCGATAGAAGGGAACAAACAGTATTGTAAATCCTGCAAGCACAGACCTGCTGCTTGTTCAGCTGCTTTCTACCTCAGCGAGTCAAGCATGACTAATTTTCTGAAATCTGCTCAAAGCTTTTCTTTACTTTGACACTTTTTATTTTCAGCTTGTGGTTCGGCTTACAGCACAACTTACCTGGCCTGTGAAACGGACGGGATAAATGAATCTTAATGATTATATGCAAACAGTGAACGCGACCGCTTAAATGAATGCTTCTCAATGTGAAAGAAACGCGTCTATCCTGCACCAAAAGAAAGATGTCGCCACGACTCTTTGTTTTTGCTCCCCGCCGGGACAATATTTGGCGACTGTTACTCACGAAGACCTGAACAGATAGCCAAAACAACACCAACTACCCTTCTGTGCCTGTGGTCTCTTCCTCACCCTCCGCGCGCTTGGGTGTGTGCGTGTGAGCGCGCGAGCGAGCGTATGTGGTGTGCATATAGGTAATAAGCTGCTCCGCCACTGCGCAACGATGGAGCTATCGCAACGATGGAGATGACGCAAACAGACCCAGCTCTCCGAAAAAGTGTTTCAAGACGAACATGGCGGCAACTTAACCGCGGTCCAAGATGACAATGGCCAACAGGAGAAAGGATTCTAGGTTTTTCGCCCAGGTACGGGACAGAGAAACTAGCCTGCCTGCATCAAACGGGCTCGTTGCTCTCCTTTAAGTGAATCTGCAAAGCGAACGGCGGCAGACGCGCAGCATCAGCACCGAGAGGCTCGCAACAGCTGGTCTCCCTGCACCCCCGCCGAAAGAACAACCCCGGGGAGAGACGGTAGGGAGAGGAGGGCATGCGGTCAAAGAGGACGCCGTTTCCCCCCGGAGAGCCATGGAGAACCGGGATGCGGCAGCGCGAGGCTTAATCTGTGCGGGCTCGCTAATTGGATCGGAATAGCTCCGAGTGCTGCGGGCGCGATAGTGGAGCGCCCTGGACCGGCGGAGGCACGGCACCCCACCGATATACAGAGGAGAACCAACCGGAGTCCATCCCCCAACAAGTCAATGAGTATTGTGGCAGAGCAGCCCCCGCGGTGGAGTCGGCCAGGGCAGCACTTTCCTAAAATATGACCAGGGGTGCTTGGATGCGTCGGCAGCATGACGAAGGCTTAAAATACTGGTTTGCACCCCGAGAGAACGAGAAGCCATTTACCGAGTCGGAGAGGGCCCAGAGATGGCGACTGTCGCTGGCCTCTCTGCTCTTCATCACCGTCCTCCTCTCTGATCACTTGTGGTTCTGTGCCGAGGCAAAACTGACGCGAACCCGAGACAAGCGGTCGGGCGACATGGGCGAGTACCCAAACTACCGACACCACATCCAAACATCACCTGACCCCCAGCGTCTCGCCAGAGAGCAAGATGTTATTTTTCTAGGGAATTCTACCAAACCTCTGTGGCGAATGGACACCTGTCACCCCGACAGCCTGTCCAAAGACTGCTTTACTTTCACGGACGCGGAGACCGTGTGCCGGGGCCTCTCTGGTAGAGGGGAAAACGGGACACAGTTGGCGTACGTGAATCTGAGCGATTTGTACCTTTCTTTTTGTAATTCCTACTCACTTTTGGATTTGTTTTACGGGTTTACGAGTCTGTACGATATGAACTGCACCCTGGATATGGCCACTGGGGTGGATGTGCTGGGATGCCGTGAGTGTGTCCAGGCTTATCAGCGTCTTGACCAGGAGGCGGAGGACAGATACCACGAGTTTGAACTGCTGGTTCAGAAATACGAGACAGATGCATACTCGGTTAGGACGTGCATGGAGGAGTGCAAGGTAGGACTGACGAGGCCCGGCTATGTCACTCACACACACACACACACACACACACACACACACACACACACACACACACACACACACACACACACACAGTGAATTTAAGGGGGTGGGTTCACAGTAGTCATGGCAACCGTTGAGCATATCTGTCAGTATATTGGTATTTATTTTTCAGAGGTCATATTACCGTTAGGTTATGTGTCTCCACAGCATCTCTTGGCCTGTCAGCTGTTCATCATGAAACAGCATTGGGGGGGGGACTAGAGCACAGCTCCACAGACACTGCTGCAGTCAATCATTCTCCATCAATCCTCCTAGTTTCTCCTTCTCTACCACTCCTGCCCTGTTAAAGGCTTCCTAAGGCTGGGGCAGTGACGATTTGACATTTGGACAAAGGTTCACACTTGTAACACAGCTCTGTGAATAGAAGGGAGGGCCTCTGAGTGGTGCTCGTTTCAATATTGTTAATAGCACTCCAGTGATTTCTGTACCTAATCCAGGCTTTGCATTGTCCCCAGTTTACTTGTTGTCCCAATATGTGCAGCCCCAGAGCACGTATCTCAGGCGTTTGACTTGCATCCGGGTTGTGCAAGTAAACAGCAGAGTATATCGAGGTCTGTATAATCGTCTGCACACACAGACACTTTGCCTTGTGTTAGCTTTGGTATCCAAGGCAGCCGTGTTGAACAATGAAAAACGAGCTGAGGACACATCGGTTAAATTACACTTCAACCTGTTTCATTTGTTGTGCACTGGACTGTTGCAGAGGATTGTCTCTGCATCAGCTGTGCATGAGGCTGTGTTCACTGTCCATGGTGCTGAAACAAAACAAAGGCCTTTCACAGGATGTATCCATTTTCTTCAGCGATTGTATTTATTTTGACTATGTAGTTAGCTGTAATGTCACATAGACCATTGCCAAACTAATTTCTTGGACTCTTGGGATAGGATATATCCAGTCTCTGTCAAGTCAATCCAAAACTGAACACCTTCATGTTCGGCTAACACCCCTGAGAAATATTAATTATTTACTGTTGGGTCTTTCATGAGCTGGATTGAGAACCAGCAGTGTTGAAAGTATAGAATATGGTAAATGACACTGAAGATGTGAGAGGAAGGCTTGACAAGGACAGAAGGGATTTATGATGTTAGCCTTGCTTGTACTGTATCTGGTAGAGGGTACAGTGCATGCACCATTAGCCTACAGGCACTGTATTTGTAGCTTGTTTCTGTGTGTATTTCTGTGTGTGTTTCATGAAGCACAGTCTGAGCAATTTTCTCATGCTGAACACTGAAGTTTTGAAAAATTGTAACAGCAGTCATCGTCAAATGTGTCTAATGCCAGGCAGGCTGCACAATCACTACAACAGAACTATAACAAAGGTGGGGAAATTAACCTTGAAAAGCAGGAAATCTTGCATTCAAACTGCTGTCACAATTCTTCTGCAACCCAAGCTCATTTGTGCAAGATGGATGTTGTACGAGGGCAGATGGCCAGAATGCTGGCTGTGCTTATAATCCATGCGTGTAAACAGGAATAGTTAGTGGAACTATACCAGTGATAAACCACCACAATAAAATCGTACTCTGTAGTATGTAAATAGCATATTGTGAGTAATGTTTGTCAAAGAGTGTGTGGATGCATAGGTACAGTATGTACAGTAAGTGCATGATACTATGTACTTGCTCTGATATCTTCAAGCTTCTTCCTTATTATGTCATCTAATCAGGAGTGTGCCTTTGCACTCCTACTCTTTGCTAATGTAATAAGACTCAGGCAGGGCTACAGCAGCCTTTTAGCCCCTTTATCCCAATTTGAATTGCTAATCTGCTTCAGTAACCTTTGTGAAAGCACAGTACCCCGGGTCTGCATCACAAGCTACAGTTCCTTGAAGAATCACTCTGCTGGACAATAAAAAGACTTTAGGCAGCTTGAAACAATAATTATTACTATTCATACTTATCTGTCTTATTTCTGTCTACCCAGGTCTCCCAATCCTGCAAAGACTTAACACTTAGTGAATTGACATTTTAACACAAAGTGTTTGTAAGTGCTTGATGTGTGCGTTGTCAGTGCTGTGCAAGTTAAGTAGATGAAAGAATGGCGATATCATAGAATCAGTGATGTAAGGTTGAAAGGTAAATTTGCAGGAGGTAACAGAAAGATAACTGGCTTGAAGATGGAGAAATATCATAACTGGAACAATATCAATATACATATACGTTCATAACTAGCCGGCTAATCATGAGCAAACTTAACAGTGGCCTGTCATCAATTTAGCTGCAGTACGTACTAGGGGTGCAACGATACACAAAATTCACAAAGTTTGGTTCGATACTTTGGTGTCACGGTTCGATATTTTTTCGATACAAAAAAAATGTTCATGCCTTTTTAGTTTGTCATTTATTAAAATTATAAATATATATTTTAACTCAAAAGTACAGTTTTTAAATTTAACCCTAACCCTTGTGCGTGTTTTTTATTTTGACAGCGAATGCGCACCTGCGGATCACTTACAGTATGTGCAGCCCTGGTTATTTAGCTCGTCATATTGCAGCCACAGAAATTCTTTTGTCCATGAAACCATAAAGCTGCACTTTCTTTTTGCCTTATAGTCTGATTTGTCATAACTTCTCGGTTTTGTGGTAAGCTTTTCTTTGGCTGTCACTTCTTCACCCTGACCTCTCTTATTTGGCTCAGCAGAACTAAAATATATATACTGCTGCTTTTACACACGCACTCACATAAGCTCAGCGATTCTCTGCGCGATCAGCCTCTCACATGTTTAAGCTTGCTGCGGGAGATTTCACTTGTCATGTTTGCATAGTAAGCTAACGATTAATAAGACGATGTCAGAGGAATTGGTGCACAAATTATCATCACTCACAGATCAGTGCTGTCGCTCTCTATACACAGTTCGCACGATTGCAAAGTGAAAGCAAAAAAACAACCGCAAATTCAAACGCGATTTCAATATGTCACATATTGACAGCGGCTCACCGATGCCAATGACATAATTACCCAGCTACATTTCTGAAAGAATGCAAAAGCATTGACATATATTTTTCCTTCCTACAATAGCCCGACTGAAAAAATCGCTAGCCCCAGGAGTCGGGCTAGCGATTTTGCAATCCCTGTATCTGATTGAGGAATCACTCATCTTTGGAAAAGAGAGTTTATTACAGAGAAATGGCTCTTTCCAAAATAAAAGCTATACTATCCGCTTCTTCTGGGCTATATTCTCAGCAGCATAAGGAGAATCATGTGCTAACAGCTGTCTAAATGACTCGGCTAAAGTTGTTGTTTTTGTCTTTGCACTAGGATGATGTCGGCGTAAATGTGCAGTCATATTCGTTGTGTTCCCACTAGTGCTTTCAGGTTAATCTCATTGAAATGACCTTAACGCCACAACACGGCAAATCTCCGTTAACGAGCTACCGCCGATCGCCCCGTGCATGGGGCTAGACGGCCAACACGTTAACGAGCTAACTGCGCTAACACACTAGTTCCCACCAATGTAATTGAGCATTGCGCGGCACATCCAACATACTGTTTTACTTTAGTCCATGACTCGCTTACCTTCAGGGTCATACGTCACATGAAAACCAAAATAATTCCAAACGCCAGATCTGAATGAGAGTGGGGGAGGTCCATGTTGCAAGGAGAGCTTAACTTCTGTCTCGCTAGCTTGCCCTGCGCTCTTCCTTCTGACTATGCTGTCTGTGTTGAGCGCTCAGTGGATCTGCGCTCGACAGTGCAGCCTAGGCGGAGTAGTCGACCGCAGATTCACTGAGCGCTCAACACAGACAGCATCGTCAGAAGGAAAGTTGATAAAATAAATTACAAATGTTGTATTGTTCGATACATATGCGTACCGAACCGAAAGCACTGTATCGAACGGTTCAATATCGATACGAATATCGTTGCACCCCTAGTACGTACATGTGTAGCAACAGAAAAATCATGTATTATATTTCACAAGGTCAACATTAGAGTATAACTCAACTTTACATGGTGAAGCTAAGAGAGATATTTGCAAAAGAATTTAGAGGTATTTGTGTTAGTTTAGTATCTGTGAGTCAGAACAGACTGGTGCATGGTCAGTCCTCCAGTGTCAGTGCTAAAAATAAAAAAGAATACAGAGGCAAAAAGTATTTTTCATGTGCTGACATTTAGAAATGCCCCTCTTATTGATCTAAGTTATAAATATCTTCTATTAAAAAGACAAGGTTGGTAATACTTTGTCTGGTAAATCTTATAAATACTCATTAGTGCAACAATTGTGTATTTGCCAATTAAAGAGCCAATATTTATTAACATTTGTTTTAAAAATTAAAACCTTCTTTATGTAACATGTTGTTTAAAAACGACCTTTTTAAAAGGAAAAAATGGCCCTGGCGATATTAATAGATAGCAGATTGGCATTACAATGTCAGTATGAGATGTTGTCTTTGACTAAGGTAACACTCAGAGTCTGCGTCGTGAACGTCTCTATAAAACCCAACTAATTTGCTAAATTAGCAGCCCCAGGTGAAAGTCATCATTATCCTGCTTTAATGTTATTTAAACCTGAGCGACGTCTGAGGCTGCTTTTTTCTCCCAAATCTGACGACATGTGACTGTAGCACAGATATAAACAATAAAATAGATGATGGCTGAATCCTCATCAGCAGCTACGGTGGATATATTATGTTCCAACTTTGACAAGTAATTTCTGAGGATTATATGTCAGTCTTAGAAAGTGCTATACTTTTCTTTTCTTTTCTTTTCTTTTCTTTTCTTTTCTTTTCTTTTCTTTTCTTTTCTTTTCTTTTCAAATACTCAAACTGAAGTGAAAGACTGGCAACATGAAATGAAACGTATCAAAGCAGAAAAATGATAGTTAGCTCCATTATTGTTTGGACAAAGACATCATTTTTTTGTGGTTTACTTGTAGTTTTGTACACCACCACATTTGATTTGAAATAAAACAGTCAATATGTGATTGAATGCGGAC